TTACATGTAAGTTCTATATGAGAAATATAAACAATGTGCTATGGAGTATTCAAAAGAGAATGAAATCCTATTTGGTTGCAAGGTGAAAGATGAAGGGATTGGGAATCAAGAAAGTTTCATAGAGGAAAAGTCATTTGGCTGTCTGCTGAAGAGCGGGTAGGATTTCCAAAAGCAGAGATGAGGACGAAGGTCAGGCAGTCCAGGTAGAGAGAAAAGCATAAGTAAAGACACAAAGGCAGAGAAGGATATATTAGAAGAACACCCAGTACTCAGGTTTGGCTGAGGTATAGGGTACATACATGAGGAAGTAGTGGGAAATGAGACGGGAAAGTCTGGTTGAGGCCAATTTGTGAAGGCTTTAAATGCCAGATTGAAGCATTTGAATTTGACTCAGTAAGCAATAAGTTTTGGAGTATCACAGGAACAGACAGAAACTCAATTTTGTTAGATTAATCTAGTCATGGTCTATAGATTATAGCAGAAAGCTCAGTTAAAAGCTATTAAAATAATCTAGGCAAAAGCAACAAGGACATGAACCAGAGTGGTGGCAGTGAAACAAAAAATGAGAGAGAGATTCAAGAAACACTGGAAAGATGGCCTCTACAGAATTTGGCAGTTGATTGGAAGTGGGGAATGTCAGAGAGGAAGAAATCAAAGGAAATTCCTGGATTTCAAGCCTTGACAACTGAGGGAATATATAATGGTTCCATTAAAAGAAACAAGGGGAAGAACTGAGTTTGAGCACAGAGGGAAGATTATGAATTCCATACTGGACAAGCTGAATTTCAGATGCCAGCTGGAACCTGGGAGACAGGCTAGAGGTATGGTATAGATTTTACACGAGTGACGTACAGACAGGCAAACTGAAGAACAAAGCTTAAACAAAGAAAAGGAGATGGCCAAGGACAAGCCCTTGAGAACAGCTTTCAGGGGGCAGGGAAAAAAGGAATTGCTAGCAAACAAGAAAAGAATAAAGTCCAAAAGTCAAGACGGATGTGTAAATTTTAAAAAGATGGCAGTTTTCAAATTATGTAGGAGTCAAGGAGAATAAGGCCTAAAAACAACCACTCTCGTTTCCTCTGGAAACCTTAAAGAAAACTGTTTCAGTGGTAGCAGAAGCTAGACTACAAAGCGACAAGTTTAGTCAACAGACAAAGCTGACATAAGTGATTCTCTTAAGAAATTTGGTAGTCAAGGAAAGAAAACAGATGGGGTGATAGCATGAAAAGGGAAATAAGATTTTTTTTAATATAATAAAGCAACTTTAAGAAATAAATGTTTCTGCAATCATTCTGAACAAATTAATTCACCGCCTCTCCTCATCCTTCCCTGAAGTTAGGCCACTCCTAGATCTCCATTCTTTCCTCAACATAGTAGAAAAGTAGACCCCAACAAATAGGAAACGTGGGCTTCCAGATGAGATATTTTAATAATTAAAGCTAAACATAAAAACAAGAACCCTCACAAAGCATTCTAGAGACAAGAAGTCTAGATTAAGTAGTAGGAATCGTGGGTTTGGAGAGTGGCTCCAGCAGTTACTTGCTGTTTGGCCCAGGGCAAGTCACTTAACTAAAATAAGGGAACTGGTTTTAGGAAAATGACTGCTCGAGTCACCTTTAACTCTAAAATTTTATGAGTCTTGCCCTGAATCCTTTACAGTGAAGATCAAACAAGATATGGTGTGTTAAAGCACCGAAACGCAGGACAACACATTAGAAAGAGTACATACTTTAGATAGACAGACCTGGGTTCAAGATCTTGCTGTAGTGACAAAATCTGTGACCTCAGGCAAATTACTTAACCCTCTGAGCTTGACTTAATCAACCCTGAGTCACAAGGTTATTGTGAGAATTAAATGAAATAATCTAACCGTTTTTAAATCCTTTCTGGAACAAGATGACAGATAAATTTTAAAATATCATTGAGATAACTATGTAAAAGACTTTGGTCCATTACAGGGGCTCAATAAATGACAAAAAAGTCACTTTGAACTCTAAGATGCTATACAATTATTAATATATTCTTATTTATCTATGACTTGGAGGCATACACACAGTTGAGCAGTCTCAAATTTCACACTCTCTTTTCGACCTTTATTCGCCTCTAAACTAATATTCCCTAGGGAAAAATGGGAACTGGCTGATGGATAAGGGTAAACGGAAATTTACAGAGTGAAGGTGACAGAAGAGATTAAAAGGACAAAGAAAGGGGTTTGTTTTGCAGTCTTTAGAGTTTTAAATGTCTTCAGGCCACAGGTGAAGGAAAAGAGAAATGCAACAGAGTGCTGAGGGTACTTCCCTCCCTGAAAGCTTTGGCTTTACTCAATCAACTCCAGTACAGCAAACAATCACCACTTGGTTTCCTACTGACACTGGAATTGAAGAGGGTGGGGAAGGAGCAGATAAAGACGACCAAACCTGCAAAACTCCTGGACTTAGCCCTACTTTGTTGTTCCTCCTGGGCCTGCCTTTTTCCCCCCTGCACCCCACAAGTGCTTGTACACTGTTTTCAGAACAGGAATTCACAAGATTTTTTCTTCCTTCCAATAAGGAACTGAGAAAGAAAAATCGGGACAGATTTTTATCAGCATACCAGGGTATAAGGTGAAAGGTTGTAAACAACTCTGTCCAGGAGGGCTCCATTTCAGAACATGCTTTGGCTATAGGCCTGACAGTCAGCTGCTTGCTGCCAAAGCTAAATCGCTTTTTGGCATTTAAGGGAACCCAGGCACAACACAGAGCAAACAAGTGGTCTCTACTGAGTTCTGCAAAAAGGGAAAGAAAGAAGAAACGGGAGCCCATAAGAGGAACTTACAGCAAAAGAGAATTGTATTAAGATTTTTAAAAACTCAAAAATTCAGCCCTTCATAGACATGCCCAAATAAATATCAGCATTCCCTTTTCTCAAATACATCCTTAATACCACCCTGACCTATGACAACCCAACTCTCCCCCATCCCCTCAAAATTTATGTAGTTACATATCAACACTGTTTAACAATATTGATTCATGTATTTCTTTGTAAACACTGATGTTTCATATTTATGTACACTTTCATACTCATCAAACTAAAGGTCTCCTGGAAGCCACAATTTTGAATTTTTAAAATGACTTTAGTGCGAGTCCCACCTTCCCTGCTCCCGATAATTCAATCAATATTGTTGACCAACTGAAAACAACTCAGCCCCTGTCAGTGAACTTTCTAGAACAGGGTGCCACCTCAAACCCACACACCCTAAGGATCAACATGTTCCCCTTTTTGTTCCTGGGGATTGGTGCTGTTTGTGTGTGTGTTTTCCAACAGTCTTAATGCCTGTTTCTTGAGCTTGCTTAATATTGGGGTTGAGTTGTAACTTGTTAGCCTTACCTTAGCAATCTACTTAGGGTGTACCAGGAAGGACAAAGGATCCTTAACAGCAATTAATAGCCCTCTTTTTGCTGAGAGCGTAGGATTTCTGTATATTCTAACGCTTCTATTCACTTCCCCATCTCAATCTTGGGGACATTATCTTCCTCTTTCCAGCACAAGAAATGAAGTAATAAGCTCCTGATATCCCAAAACAGACATGGGAGGGAATTAGGAACCAAAGAAAAAGGGGAAGAATCCCAGTATCTCTGCATACAAGTTTTTATTGCATTTATGAATAATTTCTCAGGAGTCAGCTCCTAAGGCATCTCACTGCCAGCTCAGGACCAACCCATCTGACAACCAAATGACAGCAAGAAAGAGAAGTCAGGGTCTCTTTTAGCTTGAACGTACAGTGTTCTCACGACCCTTCTGTCTTCTTTCCTTTCTTACCGATTTTTAAACAACTTAAGAAAAACTTTTAAAAGATAAGGAAATTCTTCCTTCAAACGGGAATACAGCCATCTCTTCACTGATACTTTGGTTATAAACAAGAGCACTTTCCCGCTCTTAACTAACTTGAAGACTGTGAGGAGTGTGGGCAACAGTTTTAGGGATGTACCTTTGATTTGGTGAGTTGAAGACGAGATGAAGACGACAGAATGGGAAGTAACTCAGGAAGAAAGTGGAAAGAGTGAAGCATCCTTTTTTTCCCCTCTCCTTTCCTGAAGAAGCAGGGAAGGAGTGAGAGATAATCAGAGCCTCAAGAACACACCTTCCTAAAGAGGTAATGAGGTAACTGGGAGAACACAGTGTTCCCCAACTTTGCAGGTGGAAACTGAAGACATGAGGGGATAAGCAACAGGATGTGAAGACGCCCTTACTATTTCCGTTCCAGAGAACAGAACACAGGGTACGGGAGCTGAGGAACAGCACAGGCACACAGTCCCGGACAAAGGGAGGGAGAAGGCCGACCAGTCCCACATACTCGCTTTCCAATGAGGACAGAAGAGAGATTTAAAATTTGTGACAAATTCTCCTTTCCTTTACAGACAGCAGTTCTGTTTGTTTAATAGAGATGCGGGGCGAGAGAAGGAAAAAGGGGCTCTTCCTGAACAGTAACGCCAGCACTCCCTGTCCTCCACTCCAATCCTTAAGTATTCTTGGGGCTGTGGGATTGTTTTTCACACGACTTGCGACTTGTGAGCCGGAAATAAACGGTCGCCTCTAAATGAAGTGCTCTGGCTAAGGCTCCGCACAAAATTCCCTCACAAGCACATTTCCTTTTACCTCAAAACACCGCTCCCAACCCAAAATCATCCGCACCCGCCCTTCGACAGCCACGGGCCCTGAATAAATGTTAGGGTCAGCGAGACGCCCACCTCCTTCGGGCCGCAGGCAAGCCGCGCCGAAGCCCCTCCACCCCCCTCCTCCCTGCGAGGCAGCGCGGCATAACAACCTCTTTCCCCCCGCGCCAAGAGCACACCGTGTCCACGCGCCACTGCGACCTCGCTGATTGGTTCAGCTACTGGTAAACAAGGACCAGGCAGCCAATGGGAGGGCTGTGCACGAGGGCAGCACGAGCCTCCCGGCCAGCGCTCGCGTGGCCCTGCCTGCCTGGGCTACTATATAGAGCAGTTTCCGGCTCTCGATTTAAACTAGCCTTCTCTTTCTTTGGCTGCAGTGCTGTCCGTTCATCCGCCGAGATCCGGTGCTCCCTCCAGCTGTTGGAGAAAAGAAAGAAAAGAGAGATCCTATTTTTCTCTTGAAATCCCTTGGCATAGCAAGCAGCTTACATTGTGTGGACATCTTTTCAAAAATTTAGTAGAGAATTGAGTGAAGTAATCTTAATTTATTGCAAAGGGGTTTTGTTTTTCCCGGTTTCTAACTCTTGAGCCAACCCAGCCCCATCATGGTGATGTTCAAGAAGATGAAGTCTTTCGAGGTGGTCTTTAACGACCCTGAAAAGGTGTTCGGCAGTGGGGAGAAGGTGGCTGGCCGGGTGATAGTGGAGGTGTGTGAAGTCACTCGAGTGAAAGCTGTCAGGATCCTGGCTTGCGGAGTGGCCAAAGTCCTCTGGATGCAAGGATCCCAGCAGTGCAAACAGGCTTTGGAGTACCTGCGCTACGAAGACACGCTTCTGCTGGAAGACCAGCCAGCAGGTGAGTGGCCCAGTTATTTGCTGGAGGGTGACAGCTGACTTGAGACGAGAAATGAAACGAATAAGTGGAGCCTGTACTAAATATTATAAGTTGCTTAGGTTGAGTGGTTTGAATTTTGTGTTACCTTATCTTTTTTAGTTTTAATTTGCAAATCCCCCCACCTCCCCAAAATAAAAGGGTGATTTGTACAATTTCTTACTGGTGCTGTGTTCTGAAGGTGATCCTGAGGGATGTTGCCTTAGCTATTTAAAGATTTTCTGTATGCATAAGTTGCTTATTCTTTGCTTGCTTCCTGTTTGAGATGTTAGTAGATTAACTGTCCTGGTAGAGTCATTCAGTATTGCAGGGCTTTGCAACTTGTTGTCCAACAAAATGCCTCAGAATCTCTCCTTTAAGAACATAAGAGATGAAAATGGGGGGTACTACAACACTTTTTGCCTGCTGCCCAAGAATTCCTTATCACACAGATGCGTTTTCAGTGTAACAAGAAACCTAAGGGCTACTCGCTTTTGTCTCCTTTCAGGTGAGAATGAGATGGTGATCATGAGACCTGGAAACATATATGAGTACAAGTTCGGCTTTGAGCTTCCTCAAGGGTAGGTATCAGCTAAATGCATCTTTGGACTTTTCTGTCTCTAAAAATTTTCCCTTCCTTTGAGGAGATCACTTAACTGTTCTGGGAGAGCATTTTTGAATTGTTTCCTTTTTCTTGACACAGGCCTCTAGGAACATCCTTCAAAGGAAAGTATGGGTGTGTAGACTACTGGGTGAAGGCTTTTCTTGATCGCCCCAGCCAGCCAACTCAAGAGACAAAGAAAAGCTTTGAAGTGATGGATCTAGTGGATGTCAATACTCCTGATTTAATGGTGAGGTTTAAGATTCTATTCTCCTGGGTCTCAGGGATGATAAGTCAAATGTCTTGGGCATTAGATTGAAGCATCTCAGGGAATCAAATCCTGTCATGAAGGTGGGAGGGAAAGCTGCCTACTCTAGGTAAGGAGTGGAAAGGAAAAACAGAAAGGATCGCTAGAAATTCTCAAAATGTCTTTCCCACCATTCTACATAGGCACCTGTGTCTGCTAAAAAGGAAAAGAAAGTTTCCTGCATGTTCATTCCTGATGGACGAGTGTCTGTCTCTGCCAGAATTGACAGAAAAGGATTTTGTGAAGGTAAAAACCTAGAGCTTAAAATGGTAGACTGATAAAACAGGAATGTGGGCTTGGAGGTGGGGTGAGGACAGGGGACAGGAACAGAAGAAAAGTCATTAGGCATACTGAGCGTTAGTTTTCATCTTTGTCATTGCTAGGTGATGAGATTGCCATCCATGCTGACTTTGAGAATACATGTTCCCGCATTGTGATCCCCAAAGCTGCCATTGTAGCCCGCCATACTTACCTTGCCAATGGCCAAACCAAGGTATTGACACAGAAGTTGTCATCAGTCAGAGGCAATCATATTATCTCAGGAACCTGTGCGTCATGGCGTGGCAAGAGCCTTCGGGTGCAGAAGATCAGGCCTTCTATCCTGGGCTGCAACATCCTTCGAGTTGAATATTCCTTACTGGTGAGTGAGTGGGGTTGGAGAGAGAAATTGTTCATCTGTCAAAATAACAGTGGTGTTTTCTCCAGACCTCCAGTCTAACAAACTGCCATCTTTTTTTCTAGATCTATGTTAGTGTGCCTGGCTCGAAGAAGGTCATTCTTGACCTGCCCCTGGTAATTGGCAGCAGGTCAGGTCTGAGCAGCCGGTCGTCCAGCATGGCCAGCCAAACCAGCTCTGAGATGAGTTGGGTAGATCTCAACATCCCTGATACCCCAGAAGGTGAGCCAGACCTACGGTCTTTTCTTCTCCTCTGGCCTGTTTGGGTTTGTAAAATTGTGGTGGTCAGGTATTTCTTGGCCATGCTTCTTATCCCCATACTTTCTCTCTCTAGCTCCTCCTTGCTATATGGATATCATTCCTGAAGACCACCGATTGGAGAGCCCCACCACTCCTCTGCTAGATGACACAGATAGTTGCCAAGACAGCCCTATTTTTATGTATGCTCCTGAGTTCCAGTTCATGCCACCACCTACTTATACTGAGGTGAGAATTGTCATTTTACCACTATATTTGTCCGAAGCCTTCTATAGGAAGTTGAATTGAAGGAATTGCTAAACTGAGTTGTTGTTTTCCTTCTTACCCAAACTAAAATGGTCTTTTCTTTTTTCTCTCAGGTGGATCCTTGCATTCTAAACAACAATGTGCAGTGAGCATATGGAAGAAAAGAAGCAGCTGTACCTACTTGTTTCTTTCTGCCTTGCTTCCTGGACTCTTATTTTTTCAGAGACTCAGTGGTCTCTACAGTGGGGTATAGGTCCACCCCAGCCTCTGACTCCCCAATGTTAGGAGGTGATCAGCAGGCAATCTCCTGGGCCTTAAAGGGTGCGCACTCGTTCTCAGCCAACAAGATGTTGTGATACAGGAGTGTTTGCTGGATGGGTTTAAAATCACACTAGACAAACTCAGGCCCATCCTGTTTTCTCAGATCTTGAAAATTGCGGCATTTTCAGTAGTTTTGAATAAGGGGTAGAAATAGCCTCCTGGCATGGTTTTCCCAAGGTTTTTTGAAGGGTATTACAGATGGTGATAACAGTATTAGATCTTGAACTTACGTGCCATGTGGAGCAGAGCTAATTTAGCAAACTAGGAAAATGAAAAAAAAGTGATGGCCAAAACTTTGGGAAAAGGAGATTCTTAAAATCATTGTTGCCCTTTGTTTCTATACTTATAGAAAAAAAAGAAATACTCTCCAGAGATGATTTGGTTTGGACTTTGGAGAGAGCTTCCCATTTGAATTAAAGGGAAGAAAGGTTATCTTTGCTTAAAATGTACTTCAATTTGGCTTAAAGCAGTAGTAACTGTGCCCCGTGAAAGGTCTTAAAAGCCATTTTTAGAGCCGATTGCACTGTGTTCTCCTGTTGCGAACATTTTTCATGTGGGAGAATGTTTTTCTTTTCATGTGACTCCTTGGAATTGATTCTGAGGTGATGTTCTTAGCACTTTAGTTCCTGTCAAACTTTTTGGGTTTTTTTCCCCTCATACGTAAGCTAAAACTGGTCTACTACGTCTCTAGGGGTAAGCACAATGACAAAAAAAGTGTTACTCTATTTTTGAGACTTCGTCCCAGTGTACAGAATTCTGTTCTGACACTATAATTATATGAGAAGAGTTGCTGCTATCCTTGCCCACTGTGACTTCTCCAAACTCAAGGAGGCACTCTAGATCAAGATGCCCCAACACGATGAACTCGAGATCAAGATGCCCCAACACAATGATCAGAGCCTCCAGACATTGCCATGAGAAACTAGAGGGCAGGTCTTCACAAAAGCCCCCAGGGCTCCCTTCCTGCCCACTATTAGAGACAGGGATGTTGACAGCCCCTCTCTCACTGCAGCCGCTAGCACTTGGTCACCCTCAGCCTTAGCACTTTGTTCACTGTCCTGTGTCAGAGCACTCCGCTCTCCACCCTTTTTTTGAGAAAGTATGTGGACTGAAGGTGGTTTTATTTTTTTTAATTGTGTATCTTTTTGTATGATAAAAACTATATTTTGTACTTAACCAGATATATTTTCACCCCAGGTGGGGGTATTCTTTGTAAAAAAATAAAAAAAGTTTTTTTAATGGCAAAACTGCTTGTTTTCTTTTCTGTGAAATGGTGTTGGAGAAATTATTAGAAAGTGTGCCTAAAGGAGCTTTACCCCTACTTGACCAATTCATGTTCTTGAAAACTCGGTAGAGAGAACATTCGTTGTTGACTAATGAATATAGTCAGAGTGGAGGTTGGAGGGGTGAAGAGGGAAGGAATTTGAAGTACGTTTAGTCTTTTCTTCCAATTCACTAAAAACCTATAGTGGGGCGGGGGAGTGGGCAGGGCCGGCCCTGTGGCATAGTGGTTATGTTCTCGCCCAGGGTTCACAGGTTCTGATCACCAGCAGGGACAGAGGCACCGACTACCAAACCATGCTGTGGGGGCGTCCTGTATAAAGTAAAGGAAGATCGGCACAGATGTTAGCCCAGAGCCAATCTTCCTCAGCAGAGAAGAGGAGGATTGGCAAGAGATGTTAGCTGAGAGCTAATCTTCCTCTCTCACACACACAAAAAACTGCAATGGGATCTTCTGGTGGTCTAAGCTAGTTTTCTACATCCATCACTTATCATTACTAAATTGTTTGAAGTTTGGAGTGCGTAAGGTTTTTTTTTTAAGGAGCTCTTGAAATACAAGGAAATGAGGTTTCTGGGGAGATTTGGAAGGAAAGGGTTTTGGTTCCATATTTTATAATTTGGTTTTATCATAAGAGTTTTTTCCTAGTGTAAACTTTGTTTATATGCAATAAGACATAAGATGATAATTATTCAGGTGTTAAGGATTTAGAGTTACAAGTATTAAATTCTTTGAAGGCAATCTATCATTTTTTATCTTAGCAGTTCTGAGCACAGTTCCTATCCAAGCACATAATCATAGTAAAGGTTTGCTAAATATCCAACCCCACCCTCATCTCTGAGGATATGCTTTAGCAGTTCGTATTTCTTCCTTGTAGAGTAATAACAATAGATTGATACCACAATTCCCTCTCTAATTGAAATGATTTTTATTATTCCTAAAAGAGTGACTAGGATGAGAAACCCTGAGATGGCAGAAGTTAATATACTTTCTGATTTCTGGCTCATTTAAACCTTTGCAGACAGATCTAGTTCTGGCCCTTATTTGATGGGGTCAGTTTTCCTGTGGACCTCCACTCCAAACAGGCTCCTGGGAAGTTCATAAAATCAATATGAATTGAACAGAAAGATTGAAAAGATTCTTTTCCGCTTCAATCTTCCCTTTGTTGTGTCTTTTCCTTCATTCTCAGTAGCTTGTTTGCTCTCTCCTGGTTCTCCTTTTTTCTTTCTCAAGGTGTCAGTCTCTAGATCTCAGTTGCCATGGTGACTCTCACCTCTGCCGTCTCCTTTTCTTCCTACCTGTTCAAGAATTTAGTAGCTCCTCCCTTTTTTGAATCTGTGACCAGGAAACTAGGTCAAAGTTGATGGAAAAGTTTTTTCTGCAGCTTGTTTTCCAGGGACTGGAAGGGTGGAGCAAGGACAAGAGCAGGCCAGAGGGAAGGACAAAGGGATGGAGAGACCATGGAACACATAAGCCTGGCCGTTTGTGTACACAGCCTGGCTACTGGTACGAGATATGAGAAGGAGATGGTGTGGAAAGAGTAGATAAACTTCACCCAAGGTCTGTTAGAGATTTGAGCCTCAAGGGGCCAGAACATGTGCAGCCCCTCCTGATACCCTAATACCTCATATTGAGCAGTGTCCAATAGAACTTTCTATGATGATGGAAATGTTCTATACTTGCACTAATACAGTAGCCAGTAGCCACTAGCCACACGTAGCTATTGAGCTCTGAAATGTGGGTACTGTGACTGATGAACTGAATTTTTATTTCTAATTTAATTAAATTTACCTAGCTTCATGTGACTAGTGACTACCATATTGAACAGCACAGCGAAATCTGAGGAAGGAAGTGAGCAGCTGTAGCTATTCACTCAGAGGAAACTCATCCGTCCCTTAGAGCACAAAAGGCTCCACTCAACTTTCTTTTGCCTTCTAGACGCAACTTCTACCTCACCCCAGGACATTTTCTGCATGTAGGCTCACTTAAGTACACTTCCCTAGGTACTGGCCCAGCTGTTTCTCCACTTAAGTGGGTTGATATTTTGGGTTTTCCTTTCTCATGCTCTTCTCATATGCCTTTTAAGTTTTAAAGAGTTATAACCTACATGTACAGCCATTAGAGAAGATCTAGTTCTTAGTGTCATTTATTCATTAGGTCCAATCTGGTATAGGAATATCTGAGAGAAGACAGAAAGAAAACTATCTAAAGAGAGAAAAGAGCTAGAGAAAGTAAAATTAACAAGAAAAGGGCAGCTACTTCCACAACCAGGGTCCTTGGCTACTATGATACCTCTGAACAGGCTGGAAACACAAGGATGTAACTCGGGTTGAGGCATTGGGAGGGAAAAGTGTGGAGGGAGGATTTAACCAGGCCTCTGGTCAACAAAAACCAATCACATAGGAACTGAGGAGTATGAAGCGGGGTGAAGGAGCGGCTTTTGCCCAGTTCTTTCAACAGCATACAGACCCCTTCCTAGCCTTCTTTCTTTGGACTATCTCTAGGTGACGGAATGCATCAGGAAAATATTTTACTGACCCTCCAATGGTCCAGTCCCTGTCCCAAGCACCCTGACCTCAATTGTTCTGGACTGGGAGAGCAGAAACTTTTGTCCCATCCTTTCTTCTGACCCCACATCAACCTCCATTTCCTAACCTGAAAAACTCCCTCCCAGAGATTGTTGCAGATCCAGGGCTGAAGGTCCTGGTCCAATAGGTGAGTCTATAGCCTAGAAAAAGTTCAGGGATCAGCCTTCCTATACTATTAAGGAGAAATAGTATAGTGAGGTAGTTAAGCACGTGTACTCTGGAGCCAAACTATCTACATTTGAATCCTACTTCCACCAGTTAACAAGCTGTATGATCTCTGCCAACTTGATTAACATCTCTGTGCTACAGTTTATTTGTAAAATGGGAGATAATAATAGATAACTCAGAAGATTGTTGAGAGGATTTAAAAATATATGTGAAGTGTTAGAATAATGGCAAGTAAATGCTTGTTATCTAAAATAAAGAAAAGACATATCCACCACCACCACCTTGATTAGTTTACTCCCAGCCATGTCTCAAAAATTGTTCTTCCCGTCTGACCTATCAGAAGTAAGGCCATTCTCTCTTTGCTCCTCTTGATTCCCTTCCTGTGTTGGGGGAACAAAACAGTCTGAGAAGAGGTCTGAGAAGAGGTCAGTGTATAGAAGCTGGCTCAGAATGGCTCAGAATGGAGTTAATTATAGTAGGGAAGGGGTAGCCCACTATTGGGACTCCCATACCCAGGCCAGGACAGGCCCTCTACATACCACCAGCATCTCATGGTATAGCTCTGGGAGCACTAGAGTTTTCTCTCTCATAGTCCCAGTGTGCTTCACAGGCCTCTCTGGATTAACTTTGTCACTGTCTGAATTTTTTTTTTTTTTGGTGAGGAAGATTAGCCCTGAGCTAACACCTGTTGCTGATCCTCCTCTTTTTTGCTGAGGAAGATTGGCCCTAGGCTAACATTCGTGCCCATCTTCCTCTACTTTATGTGGGACGCCTGCCACAGTGTGGCTTGATGAGCGGTATGTAGGTCCACGCCCGGGATCTGAACCTGCGAACCCCGGGCTGCCAGAAGCTGAGCGCACAAACTCAACCACTATGCTACCGGGCTGGCCCCACCTTCTGAAAATGAATTGAGCTTTCTTAACTTTTCAGTATACAACACCAGGGGAAAGCTTTCCACCATTTGGAGTGATAAACTGAGGAACAGAGAGTGCTGGATATATAATGTGATACTACAAAAAACTCTCAGACTCCTTATTCGAAGATATTACATCTCATTTGATTTTTTTTCCTGAGGTGGACTAGACGGAGCACCACAAAAACAGTGGAAGTGAGCCCACTGATGAGGCCCAATTTAGCCTCTTTAGGCTATTCTTGTCATGTACTGGCATTTCCCTGGACTTGACCCTGCTATACTCTCTACTGGGCCTGTTATATAAGGTGAAAAGAAGGAACGAACTCTGAAGGTTGGGATTTTTCTGACTACCAATTAATTGGTCATCTCTAGGCAATGGAGTGATGGAGGAAGGAGGAAGACAGGGAGAACCTGGGCACATGATTGTGAATCCTACGTGCCTCGAGTCCTGGGTTGTCAAGCAATGTCCATTCTCATTCTTTGTTGGGTGACGGAGCTGCTGACTACCTCTCCAAGTGAATCAAATGGTCAGTAAATGGGTTCTTGGAAATGTCTGGCTGGGGACCCAGCTTGGATATTTTTAACCTCCTGGACTGATGGACAGAGGAAGGATTTCAGTTGATGGGAGGGGAGGAGGAGTTCGGGGGCGTGAGAACTGTGTTTCCCTTACATGGTTCTCTGGCTAAAGACCCCTCCCTCTCCACTTCACCTGTCTAAATTCTGACTTCCTCCTTCATCTATCCAGACTCACGGCTAATCCTTCGTT